TCTCGACGATCGAAGTCGCGCTCGTTTTGGCGCAAGCACTCGCCGACCTCCACGGACGCAACGGCATTCATCGGGACATCAAAAGCCCCAACATTTTTCTCTCGACCACGCACTACGTTCGGTTGGGCGACCTTGGGTCGGCGCGGACGCTGAGCGACACGATGACGTCCAACGTCGGCACCAAGCACTGGATCGCGCCCGAGGTGCTCCGCGCACCCGGACGTGGCGGCGACGGCCGCGCCTACAGTTCTGCCGCCGACATTTATGCGTTTGGTGTCGTCTTGACCGAGCTAGATACAGGCGATGTACCGTTTGCCGAGATGGTCGATGTCAGCGGCGTCGAAGAGCTCGTCCAAACAGGCCAGCTGCGCCCCAAGATGAGTGCCAACTGCCCGGCGTGGCTGCAGCACCTTGCCGACAAGTGTCTGGCGTTCAACCCAAAGGCGCGCCCGACTGCTGCCGCTATCGTCAAGGAGCTCTTGCTGCGCCGGGACGGCAACGGCGATGGCCCGAGCAGCACTTGCTTGGGCGAGAAGGTGTCGACCAGCGCGATAATGTGTAGCGATTTGAGTCTGCCGACGATAATCGAAGACAGCGTCAACGGCAGCAATGTACCGTCAATGTTATCCATCTCACATCTAGACTCCTAATAACGTGTGTAGGCTGCGTAAGGTGCTGTGCTTCGGACTGCGTACATTCTTGTATGTTTGATTTTGAACCGAGACATTTTGTATCGTTGACCATCGCCTTGGACAACCCAAGTCCTGTGATGAGCCAGCTTTTTGAGCATGAGGGACACTTGACGCATTAAAATCACCAACGAAGCAGCTGCGTTGCTGCTTGGAGCAGGCGCCAACGTCGAGCATTCGCAGCCGGTAAAGGAGATGGACGCTGCTTGCTTGTACCCGTGCGACTGGACCAAGGCGATATTCGGCATATGCCGAATCAGGCGCAATGCCGAATCCGGTGGAATCCGAAATGTATCCTGGGATAAGGTATTTGCCCTCGTTTTAGGATCGCATAAGGTGTATATACTTGGTATTTGTATTGATCGTATCTCACTACCGAAATGAATCCGAATTGAAATTTATAATCAAGTCAATTTGAGATTGGTATGATTGGGCTCAAAACAATAAAAATATCCTTGCCAGAGTAGACTCATGTCCTCATTTCGGCAAAGTCGACGCCACGGACCAGGTCGCGATCCATGAAGCCTGCGCCTCGCCGCCAGGTCGTGGACCACACGACACGCCATCTCGCCCTGCATCACGCCGCCTACGACACGCGTCAGAAGGCGCCATAGGTCTTGTCCTGCCTGCGACCTTCGACCTTGCCTCGCTGGACGTTGCCTTGGTCGAAGCTACCAACGTCGTCGTCTCGGCGCATAGCATGCATCTCTTCATATCATGCCAGGCCTCATCACGCTCGCCACGATGGCAATCGACGGCGAGAGCGGCGGTTCTGGACAGCCCGCTGCTGCGCCGCAACCAAGAGGCGCGACGACGACGACGACGGTGTGGCATGACGCACCATCGATACGGTACGTGCGATCTACTACAGTATCAAGCATATTCGTCCATCGGCCAAGTCTGCCTCTGGAGCTGGAGCAGGCAGTTGCCGGCTTGCGCATCGACGCGGTGGCGGTGCAGATGATGTCCACAGGTCGCCTTGGGTTTGGTCATTGACGCAGAGCACACCGTAGGATGTCGGGCAAGTACATTGGTGTTGTCGGCGCCAAGTCGTAGCGCGAAAAAAACACGTTGTGAGCTCAGCGGCATTCCAGAGACAGCCTGCTTGTTCCGTGAGGCGGTCGCGCCATTGGTAGGAACCGTGATCGGTTGGACGGCTGGCGTTTTGCTGCAGCTGGAGCGCGACGAGCGTACCATAGAGCGTTGTGGACGCAAGCGTCGCCCTCTCCTACAACAAGCTTGCTGTGGCGGCTCTTTACGGCTTGGCTTTTTCATTGTGGCACGTGCCATGAATAAGCATATTTAGATGCTATATATGGTTATACGTGGCGTCTGCCAGTATTAATAACAGCCTTCATTTCTCGTGTTGTACATGTCGCCTGACAATGCGACATAGCGCAGCGTACTCTCCAAAGTGTCTTTTATCTCTATGCTAAGTTGGAGCGGATTCATTTCCAACTTGATGGTGGCGTCGAAAGCGGTCGTTCCCCGAGAAGTGCCTGCCGTGGTGAAGCGAATTGTCTGTGATTGGCCAAAATATGTATATTCTAGCCAATGAAACAACGGCGGGGCCAAGTCGCCGTCAAGTTGAGTGTTCGCGTGGCATCCTGGTGGCACTTTAACGTGATGGCCAAAGCCGTGCGCGAAGAAATCTATGATACTTCCTTCAACAGTGCGCAACACGACTTACATTTATTCCTGTGGCACTCTTCATGAAGATCTATGCGCTTGGATTTCAGTCGCCGTATGTGCATCGGCACGCACCAACGCACTCGTTGAGATCCAGGCCAAAGACATTGCCCACCGCGACGTCAAGAGCTACAGCATTTTTCTCAGCTCCACGCACGGCGTCAAGCTCGGCGACTTTGGCACGGCGCGGTCGGTCTCTGGGCTCATGACGGGCGATGCCGGCTCGAAGCTCTGGATGGCGCCCGAGGTCATGCGCCGCGAAAGCGAGGCGAACTGCATGTACGGCAAGCCCGTCGATATTTTTTCGTTTTAGCGTCGTCTTGACTGGGCTCAGCACGCGCCAAGGCCCGTACGCCTCCCGCCGGCAGCGATCGTGTCGCAAGTCTAGACGAACAAGCGCCGCCCGCACATGAAGCAGGACTGCGCGCCATGGCTACGAGGTGGGTTGGGCTCCAACAGTTAAAAACCAAGCGAGCGCACGTCTGCAAACGAGATTGTTGCCATCTTGGCTGAGCATCTCGATGTTGACGACGACCCGGCACCAAGCCGATACCGGAAGTCACGCCTCGGTCAACCGATGGCTGCAGCAGCAAGTGTGGTGCAGCGTACTAGTAACGTTTTAGTGTTGTGCCCGACTATCAAGAGTCTAGAGTGTGCTGCATCGGGAGGGTCAGCGACTGCGTTTAGAAGGCCCATACGGAGGCAACTCGATCCATCGCTGGGTGTGTATCCTTCCAAGGCCAGTACTTGATCTCTTCTGGGCCTATAGAACGTATGAAGAAGACACATGAAACACACGACAGTACAGGAGACCCTTATTCACTCGACAGCACACAGGATTTCTTTTGTCTCTAACTACACATGGCCGCTTCACCCGGACGTCTCGCCCGTAAGCTGGAGGATCTTGTACGGCCGGTTGCTTTCGTCCATTTCGGCCGCGATACCGAGCTCGGCCTTGAGCGTATGCGGCGAGATAAAGTCCCACTTCTCGAACGCCTTTTGCTTCTCGGGGGGCGGGTCTTGGTACCAGTCGTCTAGACACAGATCTCGTGTGTATCAATCTATCAAGCGGGGACGTACGTCGAATGAAATGCTTGTCGCGCGCGTCAAAGTGCGCCATCATGTTCCAAAAGTTCGAGTACGTCTTACGGTCCGTGAGCGGCTTGACGTTGGGCGTAAACTCGGGTTGCACGTGCTTGACCATGAGGCGCTCCCAGTCCAGGCCGTGGAAGAACGGATGCTCCATGATATCGAGGAACCCGCGGGAGGTGCACCCCATGCGATTCACCGCGTTGACTTCAAGGAGCCGGTTGATAAAGTCCCGCGCATTGGCCGAGACCTAATAGCTCCGTCGAGATGCATTATTTTGTTGTCCTCTGGATAGAAAAAAGCAAGTACCTGGTCAGGGTAGTCGACGCCGGCCGCCATGCGCTCGAGCTCGGCGCGGTACTGCGAGCGTGGGCTGAGCTTGGCGACTTCGACTTCTTGGGCAATTTCAGCAAGGAACCCGTCGCCCAGTACATTGTAGAGGTTGAACGGCTGGTAGCCGCAAATGAGCTCGTAGATGGTCACGCCGAGCGACCAATAGTCGATGGTGAAATTGTACCCTGGCCGCTCCTCCCGCCGAAGGAGCTTCCCAGAGATGAGCTCGGGCGCCATGTAGCCCTTCGTCCCGACCGTAGTCTTTCGGCGCGTGTTCTTGGCGTCCGGCGGCCGCGCAAACGACTTGGGTACGGTTTGCGTCTGCCCCGAAAGCTGCACAACGCCGTGCGGATTATGGTCGTCGTCTGGCAGCGTCACGTGCGACTCGACGCGGCTCAAGCCCGCACCGCCCGTGGCTTTGGCGGCCTCGCGGTCCGCGTCGTCGCGGTGCTTCTTGTCCCGGATTTCCTCGAGGCCTGTCGCCAGACCCATGTCGGCGAGGACAATGTGCCCATCTTCGCCCAGAAGCACGTTGCACGGCTTGAGATCGCGGTAAATCAAGCCGAGTTCGTGCAAATGGTTCAGTTGCGAGTGCGATTTCGGCCGCG